TTTCCTCTTTCTCTTTTTTTCCTTTTTCTTCTTCTTCTGTTTTTGTTTTTTTTTTTTTTTAAGGAAAAAATAATACCATTTTAGTAACTAACTCCTTAGATGGTCCTTCTCTTTTGCAATACATTCAAACAATGTCAAAAAAATTACAAGTTTGTACCCTTGAAGAATTTGCTTCTGATCCAGCAAGTTTAATAATTACTAGAAGGGGATTATGAATAGGTTACAAAGAATGTTCACTGAATCACATTTTAATATTTCTTTTTAACAAAAGTGTGAAGAAACTTCATGTATCTTCATACAAGTGACAAAATGTTTGCACTTTAATTGTGTTCCCACCAGTATGGGTCTCTTTCTCTTCCTTTTCACGCTAAGATAATTGTGTTTGATAAGTGCTGGAAACCTTTTTAATGGTTTAAGTTTTCATCATTTGCAGATGCTCACTGGACATTAAAAATTCATTGCACATAAATGAAACAAAACTTTTTCAACTTGTGTAATTTGCAAGTCTGTACAATGTGTGCTGATGCAAGCCTTTTTCAGTTCAAAAGAATAAATGTTTACAAACAGAAACTTTTTCAGTGCACTTGTTTAAGCTTCTAGGAGTCTTCTGAAACCTGGATGAACTCATATTAATGGCTGGGATCCTTTCAAATGTGAGAAAAGAATGTAAACCCACAAATATTAGAACCTCTTTAAAAAACACCTGCTGTTCCTCCTCATTTATGTTATCCAGCCCTTCATAATATTTAAATGTTTCTCTATATAAGTGAAAAAGAGAAATTAACCAGATGATCTAAGGGACTGCTCCTGATTTTTTTATTTTTAGCTCAGGAACTGATTTGCTGTGTAGACAAGCAACTACTTGATCACTTCATAAGGCTATCATTTTGTGCATTTGTGATTTCTCAAAGGGGAAACTCAAGGTCAACTTTGTGTTTAAAAACATTTTAAAGGGGGTGAAGAATTAAGGTGCCTAAACCAGCATTAATTTTCATTGTTTATACAACTTACTCTATCCCTGAACACCCAAACAGTTATGAAGTACTTGGAGGAAAACTTTAAAAACTGACCTGTCTGGGAATAATGTAGCCTAATCAATTAGTTTTATGGGACTTGATTCTGTGAAATGCTGTAGCAACAGGTATTTACTAAAGGTAAACTCAGATGCTCCCCTAAAACAAAGGGGAGGCTGTGTTCAGCTTCAAGTTCCCAGATAAAAGACAAATCTACCCATTGCAGTCTGCTTTTCTAAAGGATGGTACTTGGCATTCAAGTTGTGCTTGACTGAGGATGTATTTCTTGCTGCTCCTTAGGCTGGGCTGCTGCAGTTTACTGCAGCCAAACCCAAAGTTAGTAAAAGCCCAAGTTTATCAATCACCCCTTCCTCTGAACAGCACAGACAACATGACAACTGCCTGCATTCTGCCACTGCCCATGCTAGTTCAGGATTATGGTTTAATCCTGTAGAAGTAGCTAAGAGATTAAAGGGCTGTATAGGGACAGGTGTCTCAGCCCAGCAAGGCAGCTGCCTCCCACCATTAACCCATTCCACAAGAAGATTCTTCCAAGATGTAGAAGGGTAGGCAGCAGCTGAGAGCTTCCATCTATTCAGAATGATCCCAGCACTAAATTTGCATCAAATCAAACACTTTCCAAAGGATGTTGCATGGCTTGCTGCATTTCATAACCTGTCCTCATAATAAACAGAGAAGAAAAGGTAATGTGAGGTAAGCTTGGAAAATGCAGCCCAAGCTGGAAGGGAGGGACACACTGGTTAGGAGCAAGGCACAGAAAACATTTAATTTTTATCAAAGAAGTTGTAAGCTTGAACGCAAGTTGCCGCAGAAGAAAAAATTAAAACATGTAATAAGTCAGTTGTATTCTAATCCAGAAACTGATCCTTTCCAGTTACTACAGGTCTGCCATTTTTTCTGAGTATGTTTTATTCTGTGTCAAACAGGGAGAGGTTAAATTTTTTATCTGGATGGGCCGATATGAGCCACACAGGTACAATTCACAGGACTTTGGCACTGTCAGAGGCTTCTACTGTCTACAGTGGGCAAAATATTAAAATATTTCCTTCACAGCTGTGTTTATTCCTGGGTTTGTGCTATTTCATACTTTCTCTAGTAAGCAAGCAGGAGCAAACTCATCTAACCAAGACAGTTGGCCTTTACACCCTTCTGCCCCTTTTAGTTCCTTTAACCACATAAGCCCAGGGACTTAGTGCAAAACTCCTGGAACTGCATTTGTTCCATGGGTCTGGATCATGGTCTAGAAAGCAAATAAAAGCACTTTATGCATGAAATAGATGCATGTAATATGCTGCATTCTCATGTTCTCAACAAATCTTTTAGTACTCCAGTGTATTTGAGCTTCCTCTCATTTACCATTAAAGCTATTTTTAAAGCAAATAGTGGCAAAAGGAATTAAGTGGGGACTTCCACTGCAGCAATATAGTATGTTTTGTTTTATTGAGAGCATGTCTTAACTTCTAGAACTAAGGAAAAGCACTGGAAGAATAAGCAGAAAAGCTGAACAAAAGTAGCCATTACCTACTTTACCAAAAGACATTTTTTCTTGGTTTAATTTTTAATTAACACACTTATATTGTAAAATTCCTCCCTGAACTGTGAACATTTTGTATAATTTCTGATATTACAGTCGGAAAGATAATTAAAACTTAAGAAAAAAGATTTAGCCCCCATATTTTGAGGACTCCCCAAACCACATGGGCCTGATGCTGGAATTGGGTGGATCATTCCAGCACACCCTACAATGCCCTCACAGCCTGCATGGGCTGTGGCTGCTGTGTTTCGGTAAGGCAGGGTTGGTTGGGAACAAGCATCTTGCATCTTCCCTGACATTCCTCCCTGCACAAACGTGACCTGTTCTAATATAAAATGTTTTCACTCACGGTTAGAAAAATGACATGAAAAGGAGCAGAGTGTCTGTGAAGAAAGAAACCCTGTGCTGTGATACACAGCTGTGATGTACAGACTGTAGTGCTTGGGTGTTTCCACCTGCCTCCACCCCTCACCCTTTTGCAGGACACGAGATGTTTCAAGATCCAGGTGGTACAGGGAGCTGTTTGCACATGGGGTTTTATCAGAGCACCAGAAGAACTGTGCAGCTCAATGAATCCAATAAGGTACTTGGGTACACAACATGCCTTTCAGGGAGAAAGGAGAATTTTTTACCTATTTCCTATCTTTTTGCAAGCCAGTTCCCTCTCAAGGTAGAATGAATAATTACATTCTCATCCTATGACACTCATTTGTGCCTTAAAACTTCACGCTTGACTTGTTTGTTGTTTTAAGTTAACCTTGTACTAGGTTGGATGCCTGAAAAGGAGCCAAAATTACAACTTCCTTTCTATGAATACTATTCAGCTCCATTATATATTTTTCCCACATAAAATGGATGCAGGCTTCAAGTTTCTGTATTTAGCCCTGAAGTAAAGAATGTTTAGATGAAGCTTTGGAGAAAACTGACCAAAACACTTTTAAGTTACAGGTCATGAAATATTATTGCAGCTGGAATTTTTATGTATTTCTAACTATGAAAGGAATTATTTCAATCCCTTCAATGTTTCTACAGCTTGGTTTTCATGAAGGTTGATGCACTGCCTCTTCTCAATGTCCTATTCCTATTAACAGTTAAAATGTTTGGGGTATTTTGTTTTTTGGTATTTTGGATATATTGATGTCAGTAAGGATAAAATTAAAATGCTCAATGTTAATGTGACTTCATTTTGGAAGCTTCATTTCTTGGGTGTAGACCAGAACCCTTAAAGGGCCTGATTTCCAGAATATTCTGAAAATTAAGTCCCTGCAAGTTATCTTATTCTGGAACCTAAGACCAAAGTCACCATTCACATCCAAAACCTTCAGTGTAAATTAAGTTGCCTCTTGGATTACTTGAAAATGTGTGCAATGATGTTCTTACCACAATGTGTATGAGCCTCCTCTTTCTTCAGTGTCTGCCTTGTGTCCTCAGACTCGTAGGGCGGAGTTTGGCCCTGACTCAGTTCAGCAGCCCTCACCGCAAGGTTGATTTTTTTATCCTGCCTGCACCTACCTGATGTTTTGTGATGTTTGTCAAAATTTGTCAGGTTGAAAGTGGATCTTGCTGAAGACATGATTAAGCATTAAAATCTGGTCCAGGACACAAACACTTCAGTGTTTGCTGCTATTTTTTCATTTTCCAGTCTCACTGGTAAAGATCATTCACTGAGCCATTATATGGGATGCATGTAGCTGTAATGGACTGTGCCTGCACTTGGGAAGAAAAACCAGAATGTCAGATGAGCCTGGTGCTGTAAACCAAAGAGCTGTAGAGGACAACCTGTGTGTCACTGGCAGTTGTATGCTTTTAAAACTGGAATAAGTTATAAAAATAAACTGTGTTGCTGTGGATAATGCCTAACAGTGAGGTTTATTCTTAATTCAGCTCCCGTGTCCCAGTTAAGTGGGCATCTGAATTAGCTGGGGATTGGTGACGATCCACAGTGCTGACAGCAGTGGAAATGTTTCAGACACAGGTGAGCAGAGGTGGAAGGCACGCTCAGTGCTGGCTGGGGCATGCACTGGCTTCAACAGCAAGGGATCTGTAACACTTCATCTCCCAAAATTACTTGACAGTTTAAAAAGAATATTTACAAGCAGTATTGCACATCATACTTGAATTACAGTGGCCTCAGTTTGAACTTGAGAGGGAGACACTGGAATTCTGCTTTTTTCTAATATTCTAACTTCTGCCCTAGTTGTAGGGTTAATTAGCTTTGCCCTTCTTTGGTTTTCCAACGCAGTTACTAAGAAACATCATTATTAAGTGTGCTCTGATAATCTATCACACTGATTTACACAATCTGGGAAATACACCAGGCCTTGACTCCACAGTTGCTCAAATATGTTGAC